TGCACTAAATATGAATCGTCACTGATCACTTGGCTAGCTAGAGGATCTTTCCAGCTTAACGCAGAAATAGATATATTATTTATACTGGAAAATAGATACTGATAAAGCTGTGATAGGTTTTTTTTTAGTTTGCAAAGTAAATGCTGTTTGTAATGAGGGTCAGATAAGTCATTTATTTCTTTATGACACTTTACGCATTGTCGAGTATTTTCGCGCGTTCGTCGTGCGTGAGTCGTCGGTCGGTCATTTTTGCGGCGTCAGTTTCCACCCCACGAGATGATTATCCATAAATTTTATTTAGAACGATTATCATGTCCGGAATTGCTGATCACGAGCTAGTGTTCAAATTCATAATGAAACAGGTTATTGAGAAAACAAACAATTGTTAACAATATTTCGCAAGTCCTCACTACTGATCGAAGATAACTAACTATTCAAAATAATAAAATTCAGTAATAATTCCATCGTGCTCGTTCCATACTAGCTGGGTATGGGAGCATTCATCCAAATTCTTTCCAAGTGGTCGTAACACACCAACCATAAAATCCCAATAAAATACTCGACCATAACAATCAAGAAAAAGCAATCCATATTCATGTTCCCCGATGATGATAATGTGATTGAAGCCAAACCTTTGAATACACTCTAAATAATCGGTAACATCTGATTCTTTTTTTACGAGCGTATACAAAATAGATTTCGCAATACGGCGGGCATCAGATTCATTCTTAATCTTTTCCACTACCATGAGATTATTCTTGCAACGCCCATGTGGTTCATCTTGTCTGCTACCCACCGGCACTTGATGCATGGGAACATTGTCTCCATCTGCGTTCTGCGTAAAGATATGGTCCGGCTGTATAAGACAACACGGTGTTGTCAGCTCCTCTGTCGTCCAGTTAGTGCGTGCCAAGGTACCGACTCGGAACAGTTGCCCCAAGGATGTCGACACTCCATAAGTTCCTGTGTTAGGACAGCATTGGAGCGACACCACTCCAGGATCGGTATCACCTGCATTCTCGACTCTAATGCCTTCTTGTTTTTGCTGAAAAGTGTCATGCCCTTCCCCGGATTGCGGATGGATGCCCCGAACAGGTAATAATTTAGTCGTCTCCCTCGTCTCCTTTTTGGTAATTTTTTCTTGGTTTTTCTCAAAAAAGTGAGGTTTATTGTGGAGGGGAGTGTATTTCGATTTGGTGCCATTAACATCACCTTGTCCCCCAAGAGTTCTAGCATCTCGGCCAGATAGGTCTGTGTCATTTTCCTTTTTTTGATATGGTATCCCCTTAGTAGGGCTATCGCGTCCCAATATGTGTTTATGGGGATCGGGCGAAAATGAGGTAGAGTCACCAACTTGTGCGTGTCTGGGGTAACTATTCCCTGAGTTCTATATAAAATAGACTGTTTTTAATATGATCAATACGTTGGAGGATTTTTTCCGTGTAAATAACAGACCTGAAAGGTACCACGAACTCTGCTATTATTTCTCTCTGCCATGGTTTTTGCAAGGTGTCCAACCAAGTGTATGGGCTTGAAAGAGAGTGTAATAGTAAGTGAAGTGCTCGAAACAAGCTAGCACACTTTGTTTGGTGCACAACGACCTACTTTTGGTTGTTCCCTGTCCTGGCCATGCATGAGACATAATAGGCGATGGGAATCCTCGGCGTCGCGTAGGAAGTAGTGATTACATCATAGGACAATGACGTGTAATTACATCATAAGGATATGACATGCGAACCAAATTCTTCTAAAAGCTTCTATCAGTGTAATGTTAATCTGTGACACGATTACATCATGCATGAAAAAGTTCCACGACCTTCTGTCCATGACCTTCGATTTTATTCTGTGGTATAGTATGACATATGTATTACGACATAAGGCACTGATTATTTGTATTACGCAATCAATTTTTCTTTTCGGGAACTTGGTCATAGTAACAATCAGTAGGTCCACACGATTACATTATTCTGTGCCGTCAATCATGCGGAATACAATCTTTTAGCAGTTTTAATAAATTTATTGATAGCAATATTTTTAAAAACGAACCACAATGATTCGAAAGGAGTGACAGAGTCTCGAACCTATCTGATTCATCCCCCTAAAGGCTTACAAGGTAATAGATAGAAGCGTGGGGTAGGGACGTTTAAAGGAAGGAATAAAGCATAAATGCCCGCCGGCCCCTAAGCCTTTTATATAGTAAAAATAGCGGTTCCTTCCCCTACCCCACACTAGCTATAATCATTGAATTCATTACTACTACTTCTTATACTACTAAAGTAAGTATCTTTCTTTTTTCCTTCTTTCTCGACCCAAGCCTCAATTTTATCCAGTGAAGTCCTTT